CAGCAAGCTCAACCTGTAAGCACCCACCCAATTCAGAACAAGGCAACACGGAAAGACCTTATTCAGTTCCTATTGTGAACTCACCATTCACTGTTTTCAGGCTCCCAGCAATGCCCTCCCCATGCTGCCTTTTCTGTGCATTCTTGAATTCCTTCAGAGACAAATAAAGGACTTTCCGTACCACTCTCTCTTCTGACCATGGGATCCCATCACTGTCATCCTGTGGAAATAGAAGGAGAGTTAACAAAAATCAAGCACAAAAAATTCGCTGTAAAGGACACACCTTTAACAGTACTGTAAAGGCAGTATTCCACTGAGTGTTGTGGACACAACTTTAACACTACTTGGGAAACAGAGTTGGGTGTATCTCCACGAGTTTGAGGTCACCTACTGGGGGGGGGGGGGGGGGGGGGGGAACAGGTGTCATGTTCCTAACAAGTATTATATGATTCAGTAACAAAGTATAAAGAGGCGATGTATTCCTTCTTCACAATTCAAGCTAACCTTCCAATGAAGGAATGCAAACCTCCTTTAAAAAAAAAACCACATAATTCACTATTAATATTGAAGCTGCATGAAGTTATCTTCAAACCAGATGTACAGTGAGTTAGACTACATACAAACTACATTACAAGTGTGCACATTACATATGTGGTTCTCTTTTTAAGTGGGTTGAATACTGTACATTTTATTTGATAAATAATGAAGGAGGGGGCTACTGGGGGTAGCTAGGCACAGACCTAGGTTTAATCATGGAAATAGCATAGGAAAATAGTGGTACCGTGTAGATAGATGCCTATTCAGGATGCAAAAATTCTGCTGGCTAAGAACATTCGGAGGTTCTGTTCTATGGACCTCTGCACTGTGCTAACAATCACAAACCTACTATAAGATTTCAGCATTTTGTAACAGGTTATCTCAAGCTTGAATAGAGAAAATAATGATGTCTAGGTAAAACACTTGTATTTGTGTTTTCCATCCTCCTTTCTGCTAGGGCAGAAGCACAGCAGAAGCACAATCTCAGGACTGTCAACCAGGGAATAACAGGTTTTTTTATTCCCATCATAAACAAACCATGTAAGACTCAAAGAGAAGTCTTGTCCAGCTCTTAAATTTCTAAACTCTGCATAAATACAAACTACTTCTTAGAAAGAAAACCAACAACATAAAGAGTCTAAGCCCTACATGAAGCTGCACTCTTGTTAAGCTTCCAGGATTAACTACAGCAGTGGTTCTCAACCTTCCTAATGCTGTGACCATTTAATATAGTTTCCTCAGGTTGTGGTGTCCCTCAGCCATAAACTGTTACTACTCCATAACTGTAATTTTGCAACACCCGTTGGAAGGGTTCTTTGATACCCCCTCAAAACAGTCATGACTCTTAGGTTGAGAACCATTGTCTTACAGTAAAGAAAATGCCCTAGACAATTATAGATTCACTAGCTGAAGATGATCCACTTGTATAGCTTTGGCGCCTATCCTGGCACTCGCTCTGGAGACCAGGCTGGCCTTGAACTCGAAGAGATCACCTGCCTCTGCCTCCCGAGTGCTGGGATTAAAGGCGTGCGCCACCAATATCCGGCTACAACTAGTCCTCTTAAGAAGTAACCATTGCTTTAGTGTTTTTTTTTTCTTTTGGTTCTTTTGTTTGTTTGTTTGTTTGTTTGTTTTTTAACAGTATCCCATAGAGACACCTTTGCTCCCATGACAGCTAGAACTAATTCTAAGAAAATGGCACACCCTTTCCCTACAGTTAGCTTAGATGATGTTTTGGGTTTCCCCTAGGAGACGGATAGTTGTCACCTGTTTAGGATTGGTTGTGTAGGGTTGGGGTAGAATATGAAGTTACAACTTAGGAATTTCTTTTTGGAAATGGATGAGAAGTGATAGGGTGATTAGTATCTTCTTGTGAACTATTTTATTTTATTTAATTTTTTTGGCTTTGAGCCTAGCCTTTAATGGCTGAGCCATCTCTCCAGCCCCTTGTGAACTATTTTAGTAACTATAAGCTATAGTTTCTTGTATTAGCAACTACTGATTTTTATATATTGATACTTATGTAAAATTAATTTTGCATTTCTGTATATTGTTTCAAACTTAAAGTTATATTTGTCATACTGTATAGGTTCCTCTTTCAGTTCACAATATTTGTACACTCAAATGTCAAGTTATTTTTATCATATTGTATTTATGTATGTTTCTACATGCTTGTATATTGATTAATTTAGAACAGTTTTATCATTTTACACTATACAGTTCTACCTCTGATCAAGATGTGCGGGGGTGGTGTGTGTGTGTGTGTGTGTGTGTGTGTGTGTGTGTGTGTGTGTGTTACAATCTCAAGGTCATTGTCCTCATGCTGTACATCTTTTTAAAGATTGTTTAATTTATATATGGAAAGCTTCAGTCAGTAAGCAACATGTTTTGAGAATTACAAGTTATAATCACTTACATCTGGTTATGTTAGTCAGGCCCTCCATATGCTCAGAGATGTACTCAGCATAGATATCTGATCTTCTAACACATCAAAGACCTACAGAATATGGCACTTAAATGTTTTACTAATTTAGAACTCTGTTGACTTGAGACACAATTACTCCTGACAGCACAGAGCTATTCCTGAGAGTATGATGGGCACTGGTGACACTCCATTTAAAGTTCATTGTCTTCTTGGAAAAACTGGAGTTTGGAGCAAAGAACGGCCCTTGCCTCAACCTCTGACAATGGGCATGCTGTCCTAACTGGACAAGTAGGAGATAAACAAAAAGACTGCTAAGCCTTGCCAAGTCAGGGTAGGACAGGCTTTTGAACTTTCCTGCTGATATGGTTTGTCAGATACTCTAGGCCTTACCCAAAGTTAGTTGCCCTGATGTTATTGTGAGACCTTGGGTGACTGTCCAGGTAGCCTAGTGTTTGTTATCTCTTGCACCTTTAGGAAGGCACTTCCTACATACCCTAGTAATGTTACTTTCCTTCTCAGGTCTTTGATGAGATTGAAGACTAAATAGACTTTTCCAGAATCAGATAGCTATTGGAGTAGTCTCTGCTATATACCATTACCCTTGGACTGAACCTTTAGTATATGTTTCTAGTTTAATGTTGCTCTTAATGGTTGTAGGTCTAAATTTGTATGTTTTTAGCTTTTTTTCTCCTGGATTCTACTTGATACCTGTTATTATTACATATAGTTTTTGTATCAGGTTTAAAACCCTCGCATTTAGACAAAAATGGGAAATGTAGTGGCATCTTGTTCTAACAAGTGGAGCTTGTGGTGGTGGCCACACCTTAGGGTATGGCTTCAAAATCATGATTAGAACCAGAAACAAACATAAAGGCTTTTAACCAGACCCCATTTGTAGAATTCAAATAATTAATCAGTGTGGTACATAAAGTAGATATACAATATATGAAGATCAAAATGTGGCTGAATTAATTTTTTTTACAGCAACACTCCTGAGTTTGCTTATGCAAACTCCCTTATCAGATTACCTGCAACCAAATGTTAATGCTAACTACAGGCAGGAGATTGGCTTATTGGGCTAAAATCCACCTTAAAAGCAGCCAGGACCTGTTTATTAAAGCTGTCAGGCAGAATTCTCTTCACTACCATCACATTCTCATTCTTTTCATCTGTATTTCCAGAACAAACAATGACTATTATTATATCCATCAACAGTTTATAAATCATAAAGCCCCAAAATAGCTCTGTGAATGAGAGTCCCATGAAGATTTGCTGCATTCTGAGAGGGCTAGAGCCCTCATCCTGACTCAGGCGCTACATGAGAGAATTACACCACGTAAGATGGACATCAGCAGCTTCATTAGACCAATAAATACTCTAAATATAGAAGAAGCAACCTATGAATGACATAGATTACACAGTTTCAAACCACTGATAAATAAAATTCATAGACATGCACACCTGTTATTTTATAATCGACATGGCTGGTCAAGATTTGCAACTGACTGTGCTCGTTAGGTGACAATACAAAATATTCAGTACTAAACTCCCTTTCATAACTGCAGAGTTGTGGTGCCCGCTGTTCCCTAGCAATGAAGGGTACACAGTGCAAAAAGCAGACCAAGCCTGCTGTCCTAGGCAGCCAGCCACTCACTCTCCAGGTGCTATGTAGAATGATGTATAGAATCAGGAAATAAACACTAATAGAGGTCTTCCTTCTTATTGTCTCCTGACTCTGTCCACCCTATTTTCCCATTGCCAGTGTGAAATGCCTGAAATTATGGCATAGTAATGATTTAAATCACCTACCTTCAGCAGTGACAAAGACAAAAAGCTTGAGTAGCTCTCATTCTCAACAGTCCTTTTACACAATGCCTCCACCACTCTACCCCCGTCCACCATTTAAGCGCCTAGACCAAGTAAGACAAAATCTTTCATCTTAAGGTATGCATGAACATAATTTAATGAGCCTCCATGGTACTTCCTGGTAAACACTACATACAATGCTCAACTCCTTGCTGTTGTTTCTGCTGTTGTTTCTGCTCTTCTATATCTTCCAAGAGTCTCGTGTTACACTCTAGCCCCAAACCCTTTAATGCATGAACCTGAAAAACATTCCCAAATCGGTTTTTAAATCCAGTATTTGTCTTGATGTTCACAATGCTGTCTTGTCCATGATAGGTAACACGGCTCTGTCTCTCCCTGCCAGATAGAAAGTACAGTAATGAAAAGAAATCCCACAAACCCAAGCAACCTATCCACTTCTAGTATGGTGCAAAAGGGAAAATGTAAGGGTTTTCTTTTATTTAGCCACTTATTTTACAACCTTTAAAACAATTCTGAAGTATTGTTTTTAAAGAAGTGGGGGACAATTGATCAGGAAGTAAATCTATCATGCAGTCATAATACTTTCTACAAAAAAGAATAGAACACAAAAACCCCGGCAGCTTCATGTTCTGCAACAAGAATCCCAGAAAGTTAGTAGACTCATCAAGCCAGGGAAATGGCTCAGAAACCAGATGGCTCTTGGTAGAATCTACAAAAAGGTTAAAGGAGGGAATTAGCTCCACAGAATTGTCCTCTGACATCCACACATGTGCCGAGAGGAATGAACAGACAAGTGGACACGAGAAAAGAGAGAGTGTTAATAAGCACATATTATGCATGTGCCATTGAACAGACGAAGCAAACAATTCTACAAAGCTCACATCATGGAGGGGAAGAGTTGAAAATACATTTCTATGTATGGGGCTGAA